AGGATAGCTCTTTATATGTGACTACAAAATAAAAGAGAGAATGGAGTGATTAAATATCCTTCAGATAGTTTCTGGAGAAACCTTTTTATCAATAAAATAGGTAACAGTTGGCAGAGAACTTGATACTGTATGAAATATATAGAATTCTCTTTTTTAAGAGTTGATTTGGGGTATAATTAATAACCATTTGTGAAAATTTGCCAAAGTAGACATCAGAACCACAAGAAACAGGAGTTCTCCAAATAGAAATGAGAGACTATTTATTTTATGATAAAATGTTTTCTAGCTTGGGTCAGGAGCCAATCATACTTTAATATTATTACAATCACTTTATTTTCTATTGTCTTTTATTACACTATCCTAGTAGATTTATAGTACTCACTTCCTATTTTAAAGGTCAAATATATTGTTCTAAGACTTAAAAAAATAGGTAAATGAAAGTTGTTTTTAAATCAACTAGGTTAAACTACAGTCCTTCAAATAATGTCAACATATTTTTCCTGACATGATCATCTCTGATTTTAGTGATTCATTGTTTCCTCTTATTTCAGATATTTTTTATGAAATTATTTGAAGTGTAATATAAGTTTTGTCACTAGGACTCTGAAATTAAACACACAGTCTCAAATAAACTAGGTTTTATTATTTTTTTGTATTATTATTTAGTTATAAATATGCCAAATTCCCAGAGAAAACATTATAGCCAAAGTCTAAGTATAAAATAAGATTCAGGAAGAGGTAAGCTATACATTTACACTAGATAACACTCAAGAGTCTCCAACCCATTAACTGAACAGTGTTTCTCTGGTGGAGTAATTTTTGCTTACATATTAGTAAAATTTTGATCATCATTCATACAAAGTTTTTTGGGATATCAACATATCATTTTCTTTTACAAAGAATTTTAGAACCTATGTCCATCCGACTTAAAACTGTAAATGAAATATTATTATAGTATTTGATAGTTGAGCACAAAGACTTTGATAATAAAAGGTAAAGAAAACATTAAAAAGAGCTAAAAACTACTAAACTTTTGAGAATTTAGAAATGATTAAAATATTATTTCTTGTGAATATATGTGTAATTTTAGACCATTTTGACCATGTAAGTAAAGTATAGTTAATTTAATAATGACTTAAATTTCGGGCTGGGATTCAGTGTTAGAATAGGAAAATAAGGAAATGAGAAATAAGTAAAATAAGGGAAAAAAGGAAGGTAAAATACACATATAGGGCAGAGATAGAATGGATGATTCACACATTAAAATTTGAGGAACTATCCTTTTTCAGTGAGGTTTTAATCTCATAAGTTACTTCCTAGCACTGCAAGTCAAATCTATATGGATATTGAATGTGAGCAATCTATAATTTTAGAAACTAACATACAAGACAAAACTTAAATGAAAGAATTCATCTATGTCTTTATTTTTGCCTCAGTAGTCTGTGTTATAAACCAGTTTTTTAGCATCACTCACTGCCTTTCGTCTTTGTCCTCAGAGTTACTCAGTTAAATTTTCTTTATTTCATGTTTTCTTGTAATATGAATTCAACATAGCCTTGTAGGTTATTGTGCTAAATATTAATATCTAGTGCCAATTTATAATAGTACTAAATTATGGTAAATATTCGTCTTTTTAAAAGTTCAGCTCCTGGAACTTGAACTAATATTATAACTAAAACTTCACAGGCAACTTAAGAAAAAATTATGAAAAACTATTTTAACAATTTCTGAAAGCTTGAAAAATATAAAGAAAAAAGGAACCTAACTGAACCACGTTTTTTTATGTAAAGACCATCTATTTGATGACCTAAAACAGCAGTGTGAAGATTCCTCCACTGTTTCTGCAACTGAGGAAATACCTTTAGAAACAATGTGGATTTCTTGGCTGTCATCAGCCAAGAAATATATAATGAAAATATAATATAATGGAGCTCTACTATTTTCTCCATCGAGAATCAGAGAAAGTTATCTCTTTTTTTCTTTTTATAATTTATCTTAATTTACCTCAGTGTTTTTCCTCACATAAGGCAAGTTGTTGAAGAACTCTTTTAGGCCATCCCATGCTTCCTCCCACCAGAGCTAAAAGCAAAAGACACTCTTAGAAAATATTGGAAGAATAATAGCAGTTTTATTACAAACTTGACTTATATTTAAAGGGAAACATAATGTTGAATACTTCTGTTCATTGCCTGATTTTATTATGGGTCCAATTTATGATCACCCTAGACATCAAAAACATTCATACCAGTCTTATTCAGAAAGATAGCTGTTAAATTTTGGTTGTTCTTGGCAAACAAAACTTTTTGCTAAAGAAATATTTAAATCCTGGAATTGCTCTTGTTTTCCTGTGACCTTGGAATAACCTTAAGGACTAAACTGAAAGTTGAAGGTATAATGTTTTAAGACATTTTGCCAACTTAAACAGAATCCGGATGGGGCAGAGAACACTACATTTAAAAAGATAATTGCAAGGTGCCTTTTCCCTGAGTAAGAGAATTTTCTAAAATATGTCTAAATTTTCTTATAAAAATGAATCTTCAGTAAATTTGAAATAAAAGAGTTTTATGTTTTATATTATACATCATTTAATTGTTTGAAGCTTTCTTAGTTTAGGTTTTAATATTTTATTTTTTACGTGGTAATAAAAGTTCCAAAACTAAGATTATATTTTATACCCAGAAGCAGCTCTCAAAGGACAAGTTACCCAAAATAAAGAATATCAGTATTTCTGAAGAGAAAGAACTTCCTAGTCAATTGAACAAAGACGAAATTCAAGAGAAGTCTTTATGAAGTGCAATTTTTCCCTGTTTCTGAAATGCTAATACTGAAAAAAGACCAGAATAGCTTTTTTAACTCAATGTGAATCTCATCATCTCTCATGAAAGATTTACTGTTATGGAAACTGTGATGCTCTATAAGAAAAATGAGTGTTATCTTTGCCCAGGGAGCTTATATTTTTATAAAGAAGGCAAATTTGCTATCCTATTTTTTGATCCTCCTCATGCCCATCCATCATGTGTGATTTCAGTAGTGCAAGAAGACGATAGGCTCTCTTGTGCAAGTTGTTCTGATAAATCTTTGAGCTGGTCTGTCTACTTTTGAAGCACAGACAGCAAAGGCCTTTTTTTGCTGTTGGTGTCAAGTTTTTCCCTCCTCAAGGATATATGGCATGCTGCCATCTTTCATCTTCTTTGATTCCCGACGATTATCTTTATATGTTCCATTGAATCAGGAGAAGAATTGCTCTTTCTAGTTCCCTTGCCTCTTTAGAGAAATCATTTGAAGAAAATGATAAGGCAATTCCTTCAGCCAATAATTTCTTATTACTGTCTTACTGAAAAACTCTTTGGCCAAAGAACTTGGTTACTCTGGGAAGCCAGCAAAAGTTCCATGTACACCTCTGGCAATGGGAGGAAAGGAAAAGATTGTTGGGTCTAAAAGGAAGAATCAAATGTTGCTCACTGAGTTTAAAAACACCTGAAGAGCAGACGAAAGGTCTTCTTTCAGTTTTTTCTCAAGCTGTGTTCTGTAATGACGATATGGTTTTGTGTGTCTGTGTGGTTTTTGTTTCGTTTTGTTTTGACTTCACGGGAAGAGGTTTAAACATGAAGGCAAACCTTTTAGATGTTAGCATGGCTACCTATAAAGCAAAGCTGCCTCCTTTTTTTTCTTTTCTCTGCTTCCATTTAGGCCTATCACATAATTTAAGAGAAAAAAATTTAACCACAGGAGCTCTAACTATAGTGTGAAAACAAACCCTGATCAATTTTGTTTTTGCAGCACGATATTATCAAAGATTTAAGAAACAAATTTGCCAGCCTCGGCGAGAACTCTCTGGTAACAGCATAAATGTCTGTGTTGGTTGCTTTTGATTTAAAGGTTTCTTTTTTCATTTGTTTGAACCCATTTCTTTCCCCCTCCTTTTAGTTTACTTTATTTTCATATTCTGTAACTAGCAAGCCTTCATTTTTTAAACCTCTTCCATCTTTCAGTGTCTATTTTCCGTACTTTGGATGGAAAGTTTATGGCAGCAAAGCTGTCACTCTGGCTACTTCTGCTGCAGCTCTTCCTGCTCTTAGGTCATATATGTTTTGGCCGTTGTGTTTATGGACATGATACTAAGTGACTGTTTCATGTCCCATTGACCAAGCTTCTCTACCACGCCATTTGATGGACTCGCTCTCATAGGGCTCTATGCAACTTTCATTCTGCAACTTATACTGCTTAGTTCCGTCTCAAATCTACAGCGAACGGGATAGCTCAAGTGAATGATCCTACCAGACTTGAACTTGCTGTGCCTTTATATTTTATTTTTATTTTCTTCTTTATGTTTTCAGTGGTAGTTTAAGCAGAAAAGAACAAACTCCAGCCATTGCTCTAGCAGTCCCATGCAGTATCGTTTTTACCACCAGAGAACACAAAATATAAAGGCACATTGCTTCTTTATTCTTTGGGGGTAACTGGGGAGTTCGGTATCATAAGCCACTACTTAGTTGAAGCCTACCTTCTTATCCATACCAGCTTTCAATTTTGCTTAAACAACACATCTCAGTTAATGTTTTTCTGTTATTCAGTGATAACTTGCAACTCGAGCCATTTGCTGAGCAGTATCAAGTTATGGCCATGACATACTTGGGAGATTATTAAAATCGTGACAAACTTATGCACAAATGTATAATTCAGAAAGTGCAATTTTCATTGATGAAGCGCAGTACTTCAAAACTCTGATACAGGCTTTGGACTAATCAAATCTTTAAAAATTGAGAAAAATCCATCCTGATATAAGCCAGTACCAAAAGCATATCAAGAAAAATATAAAGAGGGGAAACAAAACAAGCGTTGGCTATGTTAACATCTGTTTAATAACAATGTTGGTGTTGAAATGGTCCATAATGTTGTCATAGAGCCCATACATGAAGAAATGACTAGAAACATGGCTTTATGAAAAGCCACGATGCTTACTGATCACCACAACATAAATGGTTGGGGTTTGTGTTCAGGAAAAAGAAATGGAAAAGCAAAAGCTACTCTACCAGCAAGCCAGGCTCCATGATCGCGGTGCTGCTGAGATGGTGTTGCAGACCATAAGCGCCAGCAAAGGTGAGATTCCAGCATCAGCACCCTGGTTTTTTTTTTTTTTTTCCTTTCTAGGAACTCTGTCATTTTGATTCTCTTCATTAATCTGGTCCCTGAATTCCTTGTTTGCATCTAGGTCAGGTGACTTCACAAATGTGAGCTATTACTGAAGACAGTTTGATTTTCATTTTGTCTTAGCAGGATTTATTTACTTTCTTTTCATTGAGTTTTGGAAGTTGTATTGTGACACTAGTAAATGATTCATATTAATCGGGCTGAGAAAATGTTTTTTGGGCAAGGCCAGAGAATAAATAAATCCTGCTTTGTGTGCATGCGGTCTTTGTGTATCTTATGTTGTAGCTTTTCAATTTGACTCTCAATCCTTGAAAGGTGCTATAAACAGTACACAAGCAAATAGCTGTGTTCAAATAAAAGTTTATTTACCAAAAAGTGACCAGCTTTACAAAACCCTCAGACTATAGTTCGCAGACTTGTTATGCATGCTTAAACATTTTAAAGGAGACATTTTTAGCAAGTACTATTGTATTCATCAATAGTAAATCACTTCAAGATAATATTTTTACATCAATAATTCATTCTTTTTGTTTTAATACAATTTTTAATATGTTATAAAGGAAATGACGTACGAGCTATTATTAAGCAACTCTTATGTATTATTAAGCAACTCTTTATAAATTATTTCTATATATAGGATAAATAAACCTGATCATTATAAAAGCAAAATCTAATATTTCAAATGATAGACAATGAGCTCTATATAGTTTTACTATTATTTAACTTAAAATTGTAAGTTATTATCCTAGTAAACCATAGCTATAATTGTGGTAAGATAAAAGTGATTAAATGAGTATGATAAGTCATCCAAGCATAATATTGTTGAGAAAAAAAAAGATCATTTTTTTCCTTAATGAGAACTTCAAATGAACTCATACTCATTTCAAATAATTTGAATGAATGCAATTAGCTTTGAATTATCACCTTTAGATCTCAATACTTAAAAAAAACCCATTGCTTCTTCCTATTCTGCTCTTATATGTCCTTGTATACTTTCAACTTTGAATATACTACACAAAGTATTAAAAGAACTGATAATGATTTATTCACGGTCATGGTCCTCTTGTTGTTCATTGATTTGCTCGAGCGGGCCCAGTAACGTCTCCATTGTGAGACTTGTTGTTACTGTGTTTGGCATATCAAATACATCATGGGTAGCTTGCCAGGCTTTGCCATGGGGGCGAGATACTCTCGGTAGCTTGCTGGGCGATCTGAGAGGGGTGGAGGAATCGAACTCGGGTCGGCCATGTTGGCTGCATGCAAGGCAAATGCCTTACCTGCTGAGCTATCGCTACAGCCCAATGATTTACTATTACTCTTAATATTTTTATATATGTCAATCTCTCCCCTTCCACCATTATGCAGGATAACAATTTTTAAATTATTTATTTTTAATTGCATATTTTGATATTTAGCACAGTGGTAGGGCATTTGCCTTACAAGTGGCCAACATGGCCGACCTGGGTTCGATTCCTCCGCCCCTCTCGGAGAGCCCGGCAAGCTACCGAGAGTATCTTGCCCACTCAGCAGAGCCTGGCAAGCTACCCATGATGTATTTCAATATGCCAAACACAGTAACAGCAAGTCTCATGATGGAGATGTTACTGGGTCCACTCGAGCAAATCGATGAACAACAGGAGGACCGTGACCGTGATTGAATATAACAGATTAAATGATAAAAGGATTTTTATTTTCAATATTTTTAAGGTGAAACTGGACCAATGGTAGCTGCTACTTTGAAACTTGGAATTGCTATCTTAAATGGGGGGAACTCTACGGTGCAACAGGTAATGTTTTTAAGTCATGCACATATAGTCAGTCACTGCTTTGAAATTTCTTCATAATTAGAAAATAACTACTAGACAAAACAACTTTAATTACATATGGAATGTTTATTTTATGGTCATAAAGTATATTGTGACACTTTCCAAATACCCCAGATACCATCCAAGTGGTACACTAAAGTCTCTATGTGGAGCTTTTACTCTCTTCAATGCCTAAAGTCAGGTCAAATGATGTTATTTGAAATGCTGCATTTCATGTGAAAAAATCAACAAAGCTGCTTTGTTTGATAGCGAAAATATTCAGTAGAAGCTTAAGTTTGGTAAAATGCTTTATAGTATTCCTTCATTAATAGATTGTCAGGAATTTGTTGACTATTTCTAGGAAGACTGCTCCTATTTAGCATGTAGCCAGAATGTGCTATTGAGAATTTTTAAGGTAGTAATTCTATCTAGATTTCCAGTGTTAGAAATTATTTCCTATCTGACTCTTGCAGCTTCATTCTTTTTAAAAGTTTGACATGATCTGAACTGAGTAATAACTTCAGCCAGTTAAGACTAAGAATCAGTTTCTATAGTAACTGAAAGCCAAAATCTATGAGTTTGTTAGAATGAGAGGTTTTGATTGACTGAAAAATCTTTCAGAAGCAGACTCTCACAGGGCCCACTTCTCTTCACTTCTGTTAACTTCATTTTCATGACCTCTGCTGTGACCCTGAGTTCCTAAAAATGCTTCAAGAAAGAGCAAGTCAAAGTATCAATTAAATATGAGATTGTGTGACTCTAAAGTTAAAATCTATGAGCGTCTGTCTTGTTTTCTGATCGAGTAATAATGGTTTGTGAATAGAGAATTAATAATTCTTTCTTGGGTAAATAGCAGATGGAAGGCTAGCAAAAACTTTAGATTGTCATAAAACTCATCGTTTCAAACTTATCACAGTTGGACTAAGCCTTCAATATGTGGCTAGTGGATATTGAATATAAGATTATTGAATTGATTATTGAACATAAGAAAACAAAAACAGAAGCACTGAATTTTCTTTTGAGTTTGTGAAGTTTTGGACCACATTCAGGTGTCAACCCAAAATAGTTTAAATACATCCTTTTCCTCTTTTCTCAAATTGTATATTTATTTGATATATTTAATCATTGTATTTCAATATAGGAAAAGTTAGACATAATCTGTTTGAATCAAGATTTTTAGCTTTTGCTTTAATATCTCTAACAGTAAGAAGTACCTGGACTAGTCTGTTATTGTTACTGTTTTTGGCACATAGAATACTCCACGAGTAGCTTGCCGGGCTCTTCTGTGATATATTGAAATAGGTTTAATAAAATATATTAAAAAACTTTTAATAAAGAAACATTTATGAATTCATTAAACAAAAGCTGACTTATTTGGTCTAATAACTATTGAGATGAAATAATTATTTGTTAGGACCAGAGAGATAGTACAATAAATTGCTTGCCTTACATGTGACCAAACCAGGTTCAATTCCAGGTACCCCAGGTGGTCCCAGAGCCCACCAATAGTGATCCCTAATTGCAGAGCCAGGAGTAAGACTTGAGCACAGCTGGAGGTGGCCAGAAAAAAAGAATTATTTCTTGTTTTTACACAAACATCTTAAAATAGCTTGAATACATGTAATATAAAGATATATGGAATTTCTCTTTATCACAAAATCTTTATCAATGTTAACCCTACTCTGTTGTTGCTTAGATTAATATTTTAAAAGAATTCTGCATTTCACTTAGAAATTAGTGAAAATAAAGATTTCTTTATTCTCATATTATTTCACAGATGTTTCTGGTTCCATAGTAACTGGATATAGAACATAACAAAGAACTACCTGACATTTCTACTTTTATCAAAAATAATATCCCTTGTCTCTATATTTTACGTACAAAGGCCTTGGTGGTATAATAATATATTCATAAATAACTGGAGCCATAAGTATCTTAAGCCATATATGTGCTTACTGTTTGCAAATATGATTTTTGTAAAACTTCATATACATATATATGCATTTATATTCATGTTTTATTGGATCACTATGTCTTTCATGTTGGATCACTATATTCTTTAAAATATTGGACTTGAGGCTGGAGCAATAGCACAGCGGGTAGGGCGTTTGCCTTGCACACGGCCAACCCGGGTTCGATTCCCAGCATCCCATATGGTCCCCTGAGCACCACCAGGGGTTATTCCTGAGTGAAGAGCCAGGAATAACCCCTGTGCATCACCGGGTGTGACCCAAAAAGCAAAAATTAAATAAATAAAATATTGGACTAATATATACCTAAAAATATCTGTACATGCAGCTAATGTGTTCTGTGTACACAATTGTATATATGTGTGAATTTATATGTGAATATATGCATTTATGTATATATAAATATATGTTTATTATTTGTTTGAGATATTTAGTTTAATAGTTTATTTAGTTCATTTAGCTTTTTATTTTTTGTATTTATTTAAAATTATATTTTATATTTATTTTCATGGGCTGGAGCGATAGTACAGCGGGTAGGGCGTTTGCCTTGCACACAGACAACATGGCCGACCCGAGTTCGATTCCTCCGCCCCTCTCGGACAGCCCGGCAAGCTACCGAGAGTATCTCACCCGCACGGCAGAGCCTGGCAAGCTCCCCGTGACGTATTCGATATGCCAAACACAGTAACAACAAAGTCTCCAATGGAGATGTTACTGGGCCCGCTCGAGCAAATCAATGAACAACGGGAGGACCGTGATTTATTTTCATATTACCTTTTACTCTAAATTTTGGAAAAGAAAATATGAGTTTTGGCCACTTAACTAAGTCTTGTTAAGAAAAACAACAATAATAGGAAATATTCTCTTCTATTTGAATTTTATTATATTTCGAAGCGAAGTATTTTATTTTCTTAAAACCTTTAATGTCACTTCAGTGATTTAATATACACATTTGAAATAGATTTTTTATTATGGTATGTAACAATATGCTAATCATATAGATTCATTCATTGCTTTCCTTTTTTTTTTAACTTGTACATGTAACTAAAATTTTGACCACAAGTTTTATTGGGCTTTAGTCTGAGAACAAAAGAGTTTTGTAATAGTCTATTGATTCTTTGATATCCTTCTTTTGGTTTTAGAGTGCAGTAATGGAAGCTAAATTTCTATCTGTAATTTTAGCATATGATAATCACAACTCTCAGATTATGGTGCTATTTAAAGAACCTGCTTCTGTATAGAAATATGCTAATAGCATACAGGTGGACCTTTTTCTCAGTAAACCTGAACTAAAATTCTGTATTGCCAGAGTGACAGGAAGATAATTAGCATATTATGTGCCCTATTATTCCTCTCTGTGTTTATGATGCTTGTCAATGTGAAGCAGCTCCCTTGTTCCTGCTGTTTTTGTACTGCTGTGTGTGGAAATGTATCATCCTCTTATTGCCACAAGCTTGTTACTATTTCGTGGTAAAGATGGTATTAATAATATATGCTTGCATTGAGTATATAACAGTCTTAATTTCAGGATATGTAAAGCATACGTTTTACTCTGAGTTATTTTACAAAAAAATGAGATTTGTATTCAGTAGTAATTTGGTTTGTATATTTGCCATAGAAAATGCTTGACTACCTCAAGGAGAAAAAGGATGTGGGCTTCTTTCAGAGTTTGGCTGGCCTGATGCAGTCATGTAGGTAAGCACATACATTTCTTTTATTGACTCTCAATGATAGTTTATGCTTCAACGTATTTGTTTTTCATTGCTGAAATTATTTTAAATAATTAAGTACACTTGAAAATAGAATAGCCGGACTGGAATGATAACTCAATGAACTGAGTATATGCTTTGAATGACAGAAGTCCAGCTATAATCTCTAGCACAACATGGTTTCCCAAACACAGTGAGGAGTGACCCTTGAGCACTGATCTCAGAGTCACCCCCAAGAACTTCCAGGTATGTTTCCTCCAAATAAAAAGCAAACAACAATTAAGACAGAGAAAGGACAACTATGACAACGACAGCTGGAAATGATCATGGACAAAAACTGAGTGCTGAAAGAAGGAAAAGGGGTATGCAGGATACCCTTTCAGTAATAACAGTATTGCAAACCACAGTGCCAAAAGGAAAATAAGAGGAAAAACAGAGAGAGAGAGAAGCAAAAGTATCTGCAATAGATTGAGACTATCTGCAGGGGCAGGTTTGGGGGATGAGTAAGAGGGAGACTGGGGACTTTAGTGGTAGAATATATGCATTGGTGAAGGGATCAATTTTAAAACATTGTATGACTGAAACTCAATCATGAACAACTTTGTAACTATATATCTCATGGTGATTCAATTAAATTTTTTAACAAAATAAAAAAAGGGACTGGAAAGACAGTGCAATAGGTAGGGAACTTAGCTCGCACCCAACCAACCCAGGTTCAATCCCCCTAAATTCCCTGTGGCCCACAAAGCCCTGCCTAGAGTGATCCCAGAGCACAGAGCAAGAGGAAAGCCTGAACAGAGCTGGATGCATTCCCAAAACAAAGATAAAATAAATTAATTATAAAAATGTTATGACAAAATATTTTTTTTTTCATTAGATGTCCATAATGGATTATGTTGTATCAGGAATAATGCTCTAAAATTTCACCTGTACTTCAGTAGCAGCTGTAAAGAATTAATCTATATTCTACTTGAAAATAAATGGTGTAAACTTTTGAAAAATGAAAAAGAAAATTCATTTTAGTGTGGTCAGAGCAATAATACAATGGGTAGGACATTTGCCTTGTGTGTAGCTGATCTTCGGCACCCAGTATGGTCTCCTGAGCCCATCAGGAATGATTCAGTGCAGAGCCAGAAGTAAGCCCTAAACAACACCACATGCAACCCAAACCCCTTGCCCTGCCTTGTGAAAACTCAAAAAGATGGCAGCAGTGTCTCTCCCACCGCCCACGTTCGGTAGTCTCACGCCAGTTCCCCCACCCCGGGGAGGTCAATGGCAATGGGCAGGTAAAGGAAGGAAACGAGGGCCAGGCTGGTTGGTCTTAGTTGCAGTTTATTCCAGTCCTCTCTCCATTCATTCCTGTCCCTCTCCTCTGCCTCATCCTGCTTCTTCCTCCCCATACAACTTCATTCTCCTCCTCAAACCCCCTTCATCCTCCTTCTGACTCTGGAATATGAATCCCCTTTCTTTCTTCTGGAATCTGGATCCTGATCCCTTCTTTCTTCTCCTTCTGGAGTCTCGATATTGATCCCCCAGCCCACTCTTACAGTCTAGTTAAATCCCCAAGCATGAGGGGTTGGGGTAACAATCATACATAGGTGTGGTCACAATCAATAGGGGTAAAGTTCTTTCCCTCCGGGAAAGCCACTTCTAGGACAGATACTCTCTCAGCAGGACTACCCACCCTAGAACAGAATCCCCTGGGTGTGTTTCTCCTCTCCTTGTCCAACAAACATATAAGCATACATAATATAAATCATTTTGTATGGATACAGTAAGGTAAGGTAAAGGCCCTCCCGTTGATCGTCGATTTGCTCGAGCGGGCCCAGTAACGTCTCCATTGGAGACTTTGTTGTTACTGTGTCTGGCATATCGAATACTCTCGGTAGCTTGCCGGGCTCTCCGAGAGGGGCGGTACAGTAAGAAATACTTAAGCTTATAGAATTGCTTGCCTAGGGCCATCTCAATCTCAGACTGCAGTGCTCAGGCCAGATAGTCTTTCCTATCCCTAGCAGGGTCCTAGTCTCTTTGTTACTTTTGGATCATGACAGCATTTGTCTGTGACCAAGCTCTTAATTTAATAAGTTAAGAATCTTGGCACTTTGGCCTGGCCCATTTCAATGCAAGGGGAGCTCACCGCTTGCCCTGGGTCCATTTAGTCCCTTGTCAGGACCCTGCTTTTGGGATGTTAGGAACCAAGGGTAGCTGAGGCTTAAGTCGAGAAAGCAGATGCCCAGGAGTAAATAATATTCAAAGCTAATTAAATCCTAAGTTACAAAAGCATAATATTAACCGTCTTCCTGTATCTATAAAAAAAAAAGGACATTGCTTTAAACTATTCATAAGACATAAGGAAAGGAGAAGGGCAATATTACACTCATACATATAAAAGTATAGATTTCTGAGCAATCTGACCTTACATGTTAACAGAATCAGATTAGGGGGAAAAGCTGATTAACTGGTTGGGGAAGAGAACAGAGAGAAGTGGTTACAGATAAACAAAGGAATAGGAGTGACTCAGGAGCACTGTGATAGGTGTAACCTGATAAACCTAAGCTCCTGTGGCAAGAAAGGACAAAGCAATGTTATCCTACACTGCCTCGCAATCCCCCCCACCACCAAAAAAAAAAAAAAGTAAAAGAAGAAAAATTCTTTTTAGTTTTATTTGGGAGCATGTAGATCACTTCTGATTCCCCCCCCCCCCAATAAGTGGTCTTTAACCAACTAATGTTACATGTATTTTTTCTGTTTTTTAATGGTGCTTATAATCATTCAGAAAGCATTTGACTAAGAAACTTGATATCTACTTATATCAAAGTGATTCTGACAGGAAAGACATGATTATTATGGCCACATTCACCCTATCTTCTAACTTTGAAATGTACTCCTCAAGACAAAACCCTTAATTTTTTTTAAAACCCTTAATGTTTTATGGTAGGTTTTTCTGGGCATCATTTCAGTATAGATGCTGGAATGTTAAACTTCTAGTATACAGGATAGACATAAAATTGGAACTAACTTTCAGTGTGTGCTAAGATTTTATCGTGTTTTAAGATCCATGATTTTTAAGTATTTGTCCTCTGTTAGAAAAACAATTTTCTATCTGTGTCCTAAATTTTTTTCTCCCTGTTTCTATAGCGTCCTTGACTTAAATGCATTTGAACGGCAAAACAAAGCTGAAGGACTGGGAATGGTGACAGAAGAAGGATCAGGTATTGATCATTTCACTTAAAAGAACCACTTGTCTCCCTTCATTCCTGAAATGAGTCAGTTGTCAGTGATCTTTTAAGTACAGAGTGACACAAAGTTATTTTGAAGTGAGTGAAATGCTGATGTGACTGGTTTGAAAGTTCATAACTGAACACACACAATTCACACCCAAACTACAGCCCTCTGTATAGATCCTTAGTTTCTTTCCATCCCACACTTTTTGTTCTGACCTTTTCCCTAGTTGGGTAGCAGATATGTAATTCTTTATGTTGTCCTTTCGTATCTGTACAGTTGTAAAACACATGGATGAATCAAATTAGAGAATGTTGGATATTAGTGAACTGGTAGGCTTTCATCGGGTTCTCTGTCTTTAGAATAACAGCCCTTTGAGATCTTCCTAACTTTCACCTTTCTTTTAACACAGTTTTCCTTGTCTCTCATATATTTATGTCTTTGCATGTGCAAATTGATAAATGAAATAAATTCAAGTATAATTTTTGTATTTAAGTATATCTAAATTTATTTTGTATGGACACAAAATAATGATTTAATCTTAGTTTTTCTCTCTGTAAATTAATATATGAATAAGTTAGGAAAATTGGTGCACAGTGCATGTAAAATGAAATAACGATTAGCTCACATCCATTTTGTAATTTTAAGACAATCATCTTCAATAAATTTTGTTCAGGCTTTTATTCTTCAGTGATTTTAAAATTAGTTTAGCCTTAGTAAAATCTCATGTGTTTGTTTTTGTTTGATTTGGTTTGAAATTGTCACTTTATCAATGTGTTTGTCTGGAAACACTGAGTCTTCTGTAAAACTAATTTTATTACAAAAAGTACATTTTCTTCCATCTTCCATTTGTAGTTTGCTTGCCATTCTGAAATATTGTAGAATTAATCTCTTTATATTATATATTTCTGTCCTCACAATAGGAAAAACTAGCTGAATGTGGAATAAAGAGAATTAGCTGCATCTTCTATATTACATCTTAATGATTATCACTTAAACATATTTTAATCATGCACACTGAAGTTCCTGTGGTTTTATTTTCTGCTTGGCATTTGAATGTAGAGTCACTTATCTAATTTTATGCATATGGCTTACTTATTTATATTAGCTATCTTCAAGAGACATCACCAGAAACATTCTAAATGCACCTAAGATTTCTGAAAATTAGTATTAAGCCAAATGTCATCATCACTAACCTTTTAGCTGCTGTTAAAACAATGAACCCAGGGGTCCTTTCTTCAGAATTCAGACCCAACACAACCTCAGGTGCCACTCATAGATAATCTTGGCATTTTGAGATACATAGATATACATATATATATATATACATATATATAGAGAGAGAGAGAGAGAGAGAGAGAGCGAGAGAGAGAGAGAGCCTTAAAATTGAATTTTCTGTCCAGATTCACATCACCCTGTATTAGAACTGGAAACATTTTATTTTACCTGCAGCTTTCAATTAATATTTCAGAATCTCTGAAAGCACTTCTATTCATTGATTTTAGTCATTGTTCATGTCAGCTCCCATGAAAGGACAATGACCACAAAGGGTTTGTTGGTTGGTTTGTTTTTTACCAAGTCTATCCTTTGTCAATAAAATATGGATTGAAATAACATTGTGAGTCCTAACTGAGAAATAGTATTCTGATATGAGAATTTACATCTTTCAATATAACATGGCTTTGGTTTGTTCTTTTTCAAAACACACACAGAAACGCACACGCGCGCGCACACACACACACACAACACAAATATTTACCCAAACTGATTAATAAGCATTCTATTTTATTTCCTTACAATTTCGAAAAGCAAAAACACAATCTCAACTTCTTTCTTTTTCCCCCATTTCCTTTCCACTACTGTAAATGTTCTATCTTCCCTTCCTCAGTCATCACTCATGAGCGTGGTAATTATTAAAAACAAACTTTTATTTATTTGCTCCTCTCTTTGTTCTCAGCTTGGTGTAGAGTTTTGATGGTGAAAGTTTTGCACATTTTTCTTTTATAGGCTTTTTAAGAGATAAATTATTGAATTACTGTTTTATGCATCCTGTTATTTAAAAGTTATGTATTTATCTTTTTTTCGCCTCTTTCTATGAGGACTGCAGTTTTAATGTATTGGATACAAAGGGGAAGGAGCATTAAACATGATGTCATTGTATTTGTTTCGCTGTTTCTTTCATTTACAACATTTCTGGTGGACCAAGGCTTTATTATTGTTGTGTAAATGAATGAATCATACAATGTGTGCAGTAGTCTCCCTGTGGTGTTTCTGTTTGGACGTTCTTGGCTTTATGGCTGCACAGACTGGTACATGGGAAATCGGCAGTGTTCTGTGTCGGCTAGGACATCCTGAGTATCCTTATGGCCTGTGAACTCTTCCTGTCTCCACACAAGTACTGAGAATATGTGGAGCTTTTCTTTATTCCTTTGAAAATATCACATACACACTACCTATCTTAACATGAACACTACCTATCTTAACATACAAACTAGTTTTTCTATTGAACCTAATTTAACAGTAGAAAAAGTAGCAAGTATGTACTCTTCAAATTAGCACTGTCTTCCCATTCACCGATTTGCTCGAGCAGGCCCAGTAACATCTCCATCGTGAGACCTGTAATGAAATAAAAAAACATTAGTATTTCAAAGTAATTTCTAACGGACTTTGAATACATTAGTAGTATGAAACAGATGAGACTTGAATACTATTTCGTATGTCAACAAGGGTCCTAATATTAAATTATACCTTCTTAATAATGCTATCATTTTGATCAGAATAGTTATTAGGAGAACATATCAGGGGAAATCATAAGCTATATTAATAGTGTGCTATTTCCCAGATTTTATTTTTTTCTGGGTGTGTTCATTTTTTCTGTTTAAAATTTTACTAAAGTGAAGGGAATTTTGTACGCTTACAAGAGAAGGAATATTCATGATTTTCTGGAATATGTAAAAAGACTGAAAATTTCAATCTGCTAGTCATAATGCTACTTCAAAGTATGAGGCTTATTCTAGGCTCAGCACTGAAAAAGCAATCTGATTTAAATCCACTCCATCCTAATTAATAGTTTCCATTAGATGAAATTTCTTCCTGATGATAATGAAATAACAAGCTTTGCACAATCATGGAAAATGTAAACATAAATTATTTCAAAACCAGCAGCTCTTAGATGTTTTAAAGAGACTTTAAATGTTCCCCATGTTATAAAGATACAGGAAAACAAAAAGGTTATGTTTTACCCATTCTCCACTACCTAATTTACCAATTCCATAAACCAAGCTCCTTTCCTCACATCTAAAAGTATTTGGGTGGGACTTATTTTTGTGCCCAGTATTGGACTAAGTAGTATTTTTAACTTTATTGTTCACTTTTTTCCATCGAAGAACCGATTCATTGCATTTTTTTCATTTACTTTAAACTTTAAAAGTTGAAACTTTAAAATTATATTTTTCCCTTTTGTTCCTAACCTGATATTGAGATATCATTAGGAAATATGTGCTTAAGGTTCATATATAAAGATTTCAGACTATTAATTTGTCTTTTTGTACTGCTATAAATATCATGCAAGATTTTCCTTCTTTGGTAAATTAAAAAAAAATTCTTGACTTTCTGTTAGTTTCCAAAAAGTTTTCTGCAAATGCGTTTGTGAGATTTGTGATGTACTCAATGTATTATCCTTGCTATATATTTTAATCAAATGCTTTCCTTTTAAACATAATGAAGTTCAAAACCAAAAACTAAAGTTGATATCTAAAATTTCATTTCCTCTTTATATTTTTAATTTGAATTTTTCTCAGATCCATTTCACCTCATTACTAAATATTTCCAGCTTGAATGTGCAATTTTCCATTTAGTAAATTTTACAGAATAGGTATTGAATTTTCATTTTGGTCATTTTGCTGTGTTCCTAGATTTCATAAAAAAGTTGAAATTTTGAAGTTGATCTGATATTTCAGCAATTATTTGTTTAAAAATTAATATAAAACATTAATAATTTTCCTAAATTCTCATTTGTAACTAGTGATGTTTTTCTCCAAGGATTATACTAATATATTTATAACGACCACTTCAAGTTTATGTAAACTTAAAAAAAAGAAATCCGATTTTAATTAGTAGTTTAATTAAAGCAATAATGAGATATTGTTATTATCGTTAGTACTTGATTATCTTTTGACCCTTTGAAATAGATATCTATTACCTATTGACTATTTCTTACCCAGATTTTCAAAGTCCTTTCACAGTGTGTAGTTTGTACGAACAGTTGGTTTTCACTCTGCCATTCCTGTAAAGTAAAATTTATTTTTACTGAGAGCCTGTGATATCAATTCATGGAACTGAATAGATTTTCTTAACAGCCTTGATCTGTTTTTAAATTTTAAACTCATTATATTTAAATGACTATTATATTCTAGATACTGTCCTAGGCTTTAGTGGTACTTTAGGATTTAAGTATTGTATACACATATTTCTAAACAAATTTACTTCATGACAATAGACTTTTCAAATTGAATGAATTTAAGTACTGTGAGTTGAATACTTAGCTTCCAAGAATAAAGAAGTCTCCCAAGAGAATCAATATTTGGCCTGAAATAGACATTTATCTGGTAGCTAAGAAAAGCAAAGACAGATGTTCCAAGTGAAAAGAAATAGTACTGCAAAATATAAGGTGAAAAACATGTCAAAAACAGTTACTGTGGAGTCCGGATACTAGTACAGAGAGTAGGGTGCTTGCCTGACATGTCCGGCCTGGGTTTGATCCCTGGCACTCAATATGATCTCCTCAGCCTTCCAGGAGTTATCCCTAAATGCAGAGTTAGGAGCAAGCCCTGAGCACCCCTGAGTGTGACCCCAAAAACAAAACAACAGTTATTCACCTAGAGTTGTTAAAAGGATATGTACCAGGTGGAAAGAGTTTGTGGGAAACTCTGAAGGTCTTTCTGTGACCTATGAAATAATTCATCTTTTCTTCCTGTGCCCTTGAAGAGTC